TAGGCAGGCTGTGAGCGGCTGCAGTACAGGGCACTGGGCACACAGCTGCTGCCACCGACGGGCAAGCCCAGAGCCGGCTTGGAGCCCAGGCTGGCAGGGGGGCTGGATTACAAACTGGTGATGAGCGCAGGGAAAAGCAGCCCCTCACTCACCTCATGCCTGTGCCTGCTCCAGACAGCCCCACGTGGGCTGCAAGCACCTGCAGCAGGGAGTGCCAGCCATGGGGCAGGCAAGAGGCTGCTTTTCCCCGCACTCAGCACCAGCTTCTTTCCTGCTGGCGAGCGGGGGGTCAGGGCTGTGCGCTGCCCCCTGCCTGTACTGTGGGGTTGGGGGGAACTGGGTGTGAGTGCGCAGGGAGCCAGCAGGAACATGGGGACCACACCAGTGTCCCAGGGCCAGTGCCGGTGGGACCCAGAGCAGAATGGCAGGAGAGTGCAGTCCCAGCTGGCAGGGGCTCTGTGGAACTGGGCCAGCTCCCTCCTCTCCCTGCTGGTGCAGCCCAGCCTGGCTCCACAGACCCCTGCCAGCCTGTGCCCTGCTTTGGGCCCCACCGGAGCCAGCCCTGGGACATTGATCCCAAGACATTGGGACATTGGTCCCAAGATGGTGACCAGGGGCTGGGGCATCTGTCAAGGGGTGGGGCTACCCATGCAGCCCCCGACAGCCTGCCAAAACTGGGTAAGCATCCCTCCGCCCAAAATAATTGCCTGCCCCTGGTTTAAGGGATGAGTTTAGAAAGGTGGTCTGGCTGAATCTGTAAACTAGAGCACCAATCCCTCCACTCCTTTCTGAATGTAGGCCCTGAAGAACACCCTGTTGCACAACTTTACTGAATTCAGACAAGAAGAGGTACACTAATACATCAGTCTAACGTCAGATCGGCACCAATATAAAGAAAATTGACTATCAGAAATTGGCCTGATGTGGCTGATAATTTGGCTGATAAATACCCCTGTGAGCGCACAGCCGCAGCACAGCACATGGGCAACAAGGAGCACAGCCCCGCAGCTTGGAGAAGCTGCAGGCAGCTGGTAAATCATCTCCAAAGCACAGAACAGGGTTTGACTCAGGGAAGATGGAAATTAGTGTGACAAGTAAGACAACTACATCCAGTAAAGGGCATAAATTGCTGGCAATTTCTGTTGTGCAACAGTATATTGCTCAACAGGATAAGATTTAATGATGTTCTCTGACATGGATATTTCAGCACTCAGATGGCCTCTCAGCTTGCTGAAAGAGGGAGTCTTGTCCACTAGGTTCTCCCCCTGCCCAGACTAATCAGTGATAAAAACAACAGTCTGGGGAAGAGAGATGAAGGCTAAAATTTCATTTATGACCATGTCTTTGTATGTCTTTGTACTCTACCCAGCACAGCATGGGACCTTTCTTGATGGTGATTTTTGGACACTCATATGCCATAAACAGTAATAAACAATAATGGGAAAAGTGGAATATCAATCCCAGAAAATATATCCATCTATTGACACCAGATACACAGTGCTGTATGCACAAATATGTTAGACATATGCATTCTACACTGATATATAGAGATAATGGATCAAGCAGATCCTAGAAGAAATCTTTATTAAAGGTATTTTTAATCTTGATTTGGCTTACATGCTTGAATGCAATAAAATATTACATATTTGTTTACCTATGTTATTTCAGTGTAAGATATCCAGACTTTTTACAGTGATGCTGGATTCCCATATATTGTTTGGAACTTTTTTTTAAAGCTGTGTTTAGTCATAGGTAAATGGTGCTATTTAGACAGCACTGTATACTGGATTCCTTCCTCCCTGTGCCTAAAACACTTCATTTTTAAAACAGGATTTACCACATGACACTTTGAAACATTTCAAATGTTATATCCATGTGTTATTTCATTGAGTATGATCCAGTGATTGCTGTAATGTAAATCCGCATCCACCATGAACTTTACATAGGCCACCAAATAAATCCAGGCTACACTTGCTGTGGATATAGTTCCCAAGGCAAGCCCGGGAACAGTAGAAGTTAAAAGCCTGTAGGTCTAAAGTTCTGTGAAAGGCAACAGAGTGCATCAGAATATTTAGTGTCTGCTTGAGAACTTCCTGAGAGGGCTAGAATCAGTATAAGCTGTCATAGTAGATTTTAAAAGCATGTAGGATGGTATGGACAAACCTGAAACAATAGAAGTGTAAGGGAAGCTGTAATCGAGTAAGTTCATTAATCAGTAAATTGTAAAGGTGCATGGCACCAAACAGGTCTGCGGGAAGCATGTAGGACTATTTAACCAAAACCTGGTACAGTAGACATAGAAGGTTATGTAGGAATGTTGTAACTATAAAGCTCATTAATCAACAGATTTAAGATGCAATGATGAAAATGCATCTAATGTATAAAAAAGTAAACTATTAATGCACCTTCGGTTTGTGTTTTAATCAAGCACTAACACCTGTGTTGGCCAGTCTGATAATCTGGCTGATAGTATGAAGAAGTCTACACTAAGTTTATACTATATGGGCACATCTACACATGTGCATTTACTGCACAGTAACCAAAATTGCTGTGTGGTGTGGGCACGTGTCTAGACAAGCATGCCTGTATTACGCAGTAAATATGGTGAGTTATGCCAGCTTGAGCATAAATTTGATACCTGCATCGTATCAAATTTACATTACATTACATTACTGCATAGTAACGCACATGAAGACACTTTACTTCACAGTCACACTGTGTGTAGATTCATATATAAATGCCTACTGCACAGTAAATTTAAGCAGTGTAAATACATGTGTAGACACTGAATAGCTGCAGCATGCTTATTTGAACTGTATTGTAGTAGACCTGACAGGCGTTTGAAGGCAACAGCAGTGAGCATTAGACAGATAGAGGTATATCAAAGCAATGGAAGAAGCTGAAAAAGAAGATGGTATTATTGGTGCAGGGAAGCATGAGACGAAGGGTAAAGCAATATTCAGATTTCCAATGTCTTTTGAATGTAATTGTAGTCAGATGACCATTCCTATTTCATACAGAAATATCCATTGAATTAACCCACTGTAACCCACATTTGACCCAACCAGTCAAAAGATTTACTGTTGATATCTTTCCTCTCACAGCTTGACTTACAACCTCAAGGGAAGGTATTGATGGCTGTACAATTCTTTCTAGAAGATGCAGGTAAAGTACATTCTCTATTTTTGGTCTAGTACTTAACCCTTTTTTCTTTTTTGTAGCTTTATTTATACAAATGAAATCACCCACTGGAATGGGGTTTTGTTCTGCAAAAAAATGTTCTGGAGTTTCAGAATTTATGAGGTTGTGTTTTTTATAGTGTCAAATGTGTCAGGAGTCTGGTTTTCATCCCTGGATATGTATCTATCTCAGTTATGATCACACCACTGCCATATTACTGAGCACCACAGTCTTTCATGTGCCTATCCTTACAGCATCTCTGTGGTATAGGGAAGTATTTTTTATCTCATTTTCAGAAGTACAGAAGTATATTTTCAGTAGTACAGAAGAGCTTAATGAGTAATGGTCACAGATAAACTTTTTGGATAGAGAAGACAATCGTATCTAAATCTTCAAATCTCAGATCAGTTCCCTAAACCCTCAAGCAAAACATTGTGTCTGGGTGAAGTAACTGAATGTGTATATCAGAGTATGAATAAAGTCAATGCTACTTCATTTTATTTTAAAAACTGTGAATGTCGTGCTTCCTGGAAATGATTAAGAATAGTATGTGGAAAGATCTGAGGGATCATGGGATACAATTATGAAAAGGGGAAGTGTTTCCTTATGAGGATATATGATTGCAATATTTCCTAAAGCAGTTATCCCCAGCAATGACGGTGCTTCTGTTTCCATCACGCTTTCCTGCTTTGTCCCCATACACAACTATTTTATATTTAGAGACTCAATATACCTACCATCCAGTGTCATTGCCATGGGCACACACGTGACTCCCCAACATGCCAATGTATTTATGATAGTCCTTGAAATCTACTTCCACCACAGCTGCCCTGTCATCTCCCTGGTATACCTATGGTACATCAATGAGATCCTCATCATATGGACACATAGGTAGGAATCTAAAGAAATTCCACCAGGACTTTAACAATTTCTACCATTCCATCAAATTGCTCTTGAAACGGTAACCACTTAAATCAACAGAGCCTATAGCCTTCTACTTGAGCACTTTGTGTACTTCATTCATGACCTCCAACACCTCCTGGAAAATGATGGCTATCTCAAGGTAGCTTCTGGGGATAAGCCTACCCTAACTTATAGGCAACTCCCAACCTCAAATGGCATCTCTCCAGTAACAGACTATCTAACTCCTATTTTCACCAAGCCACAAGGCCTTGCCACAGACCCAGATGCTAGCTGAGTTTCCTCAGCAGCACAGACCACATCATCACTGAACCAGACACCATGAATTAGATAGATTCATTAACCTATTTAATGTCATATATGCCATCACCTGCTTACAGTGCCTTCCTGCTGTATGCATTGGACAGATGAGGCAAACCCTACGTGAAAGAATGAATGGACGCTCATCTGACATTAGTTTCATAATACACAGAAAACCTATGGCAGGTGCCACCCTGCCTTCTGCCTGAATTCAGACTAACCCAGCTATCTCATCCCTCAAATGTGGTTTTTTAAGCAACAGTATTTGTGAAAATGTAAAGAGCTTGGAGTCCTCCAGGCATAAGGAGCTCAACAATCCCGATCTGTGTTGGAGTCCTCCAGGCATAAGGAGCCTTTATCTTGACATGCATACACATTATTGGAATTGTATACAAGACTGTTTGAATTAGGGGAGTAGTGTGAGAACTTAACTACCCATAAAGACTGAGGTGTTAGGCCCAGAAATCTAATTGTCCAAAGGCTTAAAAGTTCTATGGCATGAGCAAGCAAAAGAGAATGTTGCTAAATATTCTGTGATTACTCATTTAGTAAGACTGAAGCCTGTCAGTTTTTAATCTCTCAAAAGATATGACAAGTAGTCATAGTTAGCATTGTAAATTGAATAGTTTTGCAAATTCTTACATGCAAGACAGTTACCTCTTTTTGCTTCCACTGTATAACCATCATTACTGTGAAAATAGTAATATACTATACAACAGTGGTATGGTATGAATATTAAGATAAAGTTAAAATTAAACTGGAACTTTGAAAATAATGAAGAAATAGATGTAATCTTCCAACTTCTATTGTCTACTACTTTTTTAAATCACAGCTGTGAATGTGCAGATAAATTATTTTCAGTGTGGTGGCTGAAATGAAAAAATATTTCAAACCAAATCTCAAATTGTTGGAGAACTGAACCAAGTATTTAATTCAACTTTATTAGATGTTAGGCAGTTGACAAGGGCAGTGTCCTTGAGAGCCTCAGGATTTCTTCCTGGTCTCAGGAGATTCAGGAGATATTAAGTCATTTTCCACCTTTCTTTCCATGTGCCTTGGAATCCTAACACAAATAACTCTCTCCCTTCTAGCCCTCAAAGACTGGCAGTAGGTGAAAATCTGTTTAACTTCAGTCTAGGGTAGGTTGGTGGTTGTGTTAGAATGCATTTCATATTTGTGGTTGTGGGACTCATTTAATTGCATTAGAACCTCTTTTGGTATTTGATACTTTGTCACAGGGATACAGACCATATCTTTGAGACATGGTGGGAATCATTGGTTTGGGGAATCTGAAGGGGAGTGGGATATGATAATTGATTATGCTTGTGCCTGCAAGCAGTTCCTTGTTCTACTTAACCAGAAAGCAAATTAAATATGTATTTATGAAGCATGAGAAGGTTACCAGAAATTGAATTGTTCTTCCTGGGTTCTCTGCAAGGCTGGAAGAGCCACCTATCTGGAATGAGGGAGAAGACGGCCCTGCCTTCTAATGTTAGAGCCATGCTAATAAACTACTACTCCATTCTATTTTCCCTGAAGACATTCTCACTTTGCTATGAAATAAATACTATTTGCAGTTTGATTCATTACATGGTGGGTTACCATTGATGGTGCCTTGTTAATACCGTTGTATGCCTAAATAAAGTTTGTTTTTTTTCCACTCGATATAGTTTTGTGCTGAAAAAAGGCCTTGCACCAGTTAATTGAAATAACCTTCTTACTTGCTCAAAACATATTTTGCCTACAGGGCACATTCTTACTTTTGAAATTTGAATGATTATGTTAGCAATTCAGTGAAAATGTCTATTCAATCCAAAGACAAAGAGCAGTTATAAAGTTACTTTAAATGAACAGTCTAAAATACCATAAGAGTATAACTGTTCATTAGATAAGTGCTACAATGCTTATTCACGACTGTTCCCATACAGTAATAACAGCTACAAACATTTTCATAGATTTGATCAGAATACTTACAACTGGCCTAGCAAGAGAGATTCTAGCTTTCCTATGCTGGCTGGTTCTGACAACTCAGCACGTTACATTACATTACATTGCATTGCATTGCCTTCTGAGTTCTAGAAACTGGTCAGAATTAGGCCAGTCTTACGCACAACTGTATCTTGTCATTCCCAATATTCAAAACCTTCTTACTAACTTTGTCCATTCCCTACATCTCCTGGAGCCCACCTCCTTGATCTCTCCTTGGATTAACACCCTCTTCCTATTATTCACTTACTTTTCTCTTTTTTTAACACACCTGTGGTTTATCACATTTCATCCTGCCTTCATTAGCATTTTGACTATCTCTGTATGTGCACGTGTTTGTCTGTGCCTCTCAAATTATGGGTTTTTGGAATTGTCACGCTTGTACACGATATACCATAATTATCTTTCCTCGTAATAAGTAATGGAGTAGCAGCAGCTAGGGAGCTGAGCCTGGTCATTGTTCTGGTTCTCTGTGAGTCGCATACAGATTTTACTTTTGCTTTTGCCTGGTAAGACAGAAAATGTTCTTACTATTTTTTTTTTTGCATATAACATGCTAATATGCTCTGCAATTTCCAGAAGCTTTAAAAAAGAAAAAAGCCTTGAATGTTATATGTGAGAAAATATGGTAGTAAAACATTATCAGCTCTTTCCCACCATGGTAGGTTGCCTAAGTCAGTCAGGCTTTGTTCATTTTCAACATTTTTTGCTACATTTCATGAGGGACCTGAATCTCTTCAGTCTCCACAAGAGGAGACTGAGGCGGGGGATCTTGTGGCTGCCTACAACCTTATCAGGGGCCACCAGCAGGG